TTTGATGGGGTTGGAGGTGTTTTTCTTGTAAAGTTCTACCAGTACCTTATATATCTTAGATATTAAACCCTTATCAGATGGGCATTGAGTAAGTAATTTTTCTCAATCTGGGGACTGTCTTTTGAGGTGCAGAAACTTTTTAGTTTAATGCAGTCCCATTTGTTTATCTTAGCTTCCACTTGCTTGGTCATTGGTGTTTCATCTTTGAAGATGCCTTTAGTTTCAATGTCATGGAGAATTCTGCCTGTGTTTTCCTCTGTAGATATTATGGTTTCAGGTTTTATATTGAAATCTTTAATCCATTTTGATCTGATTTTTGTGCCTGGCCTTAGAAAGAGGTCTGAGTTTATTTATTTGTTTAATTTTTTTTTTGCATGTAGCTCTCCAGTTTTCATTTGTTGAAGAGGCTTTCCTTGCACAACTTCATATTCATTGTTCCTTTATGAAAGATTAATTGATCATATATTTGAAGTTCAGTTTTAGGTTTTTCAACTCTATTCCATTGATCTGCAGGTCTGCCTTTATTCCAATACCATGCTGTTTTAAGTACTACTGCTTTGCAGTATTTGAAGTTGGAGAAGGTGATGCCTTCCATCTACTTTTCCCCAAGTAGTGCTTCAGCAATTTGTTGTTGTTGTTTTTTTATACAAATTTCAGGAGTGCTTCATATATTTATCTGAAACACGTCATGGGTATCCTTACAGGAACTGTAGTGAATCTATACAATGCATTGGGAAAAATAACCATTTTGACAATGTTAATCCTCCCAGTCCTGAGCAGAGGATGTGTTCTCTTTCCTCGTGTCCTCTTATTTATTGAATTGGTGTTTTGTATTTTTCTTTGTATAGGCCCTCCACCTTTTTAGGTGATTCTGAAGTACTTGACTTTCTGAGGCACAGTTGTGAATGGGACTTAAACAATATAGTTTTCTTTTCTTGTGTTATTTGTATATAAGAAAGCCATGGATTTTTGCTTATTGATTTTGCAACCTGAAACTTTACTACAAAATTTATTGTTTCCAGGAGCTGTTTTGTAGGATCTTGAGGATTTTCTTGGTATAGTATCAAGTTACCTAGAAATACAAAAATCTTGACTTATTCCCTTTCTATCTGGATGCCCTTAATAGCTTTTTCTTTGAGAGCTTCTGTGGAAAGAACTTTCAGTACTAAACTGAATAGTGCTGGTAAGAGTTGGCAAAGTTGCCTTGTGCTTGATTTTAGAACAAATGCTTTCAATTTTTCCTCATTGAGGATAATGCTTGCTGTGGGCTTATGGTAGATGACTTCGCTTATACTGAGGGAAGTTCCTTTAAGTCCTATTTTGTTTAGGGTTTTTATCATGAACGGGTGCTAGATCTTGTCAAATGATTTTTCCACAGCTATTGATACAATAATATGGCTTTTATCTTTTCTTTTATTGATAAGGTATATTATGTTGATTAATTTGTGAATGTTAAGCCATCTTTGGATCCCGGGGAGGTATCCTACTTGTTCAAGGTATATGATCTTTTTGATAGGTTGTTGGATTCTATTCTAATATTTTGTCTAGGATCTTTGCATTTGCATCCATCAGGTATCATGGCCTATAATTCTCTTTTTTAAGTGGTATCTCTGTCTGCTATGGGTATCAGGGTGATATTTGCCTCATAGAAACTGTTTGGGCATTTTTCTTTTCCTTTAATTTTCTGAGAAAGCTTGGAGATGATTGGTAGGAGGCCCTATTTAAAGGTTTGAAAGAATTCACTAATGAATCCACCTGGGCATGGAATTTTGTTATGGGGAAGACTTTTGATTGCTATTTCAATTTCCTCCACGGTGATAGGTCTGTTTGGTATTCCAAATTTTCTTCGTTCAGCCTTAGAAATCCAGAAATTTATTTTTGCAAGGTTCTCTTGTTTTATGGCATAAAGATTCTCAAAATAATCCCTGATGATCCTTTGAATTTCTGTGGTTTCTACTGTGATGTCCACATTTTCATTTGTAATTCGGTTTATTATTTTCTCTCTGTCTCTTTCTTTGTGAGTATTACTAATGGTCTATTGATCTTGTTAATCTTCTCAAAGAATTAGCTCTTGGTTTTGTTGATCTTTAGGATTCAATTTTTTGGATTGATCTTTTGGAATTCCAACTCAATTTCTGCATTTGTTTTATTAATTCCTTCCTCCTGCCTAATTTGGGTTCTTTTTTTCTGGTCATTTTCTAAGATCTTAAGCTGTGAAATGAAATTACTTATGTGAGCTCTTCCTTCCTGATGAATACCTATAGAGCTCTAAACTTTCCTCTTGACACTGTTCCTGTTGTGTCCCACAGGTTCTGGTAGCTTATGTCTTCATTCTCATTTGTTTCTAGGAATATTTTGATTGACTCAGATTTCCTCTCTAAGTCACTAGTTGTTCAGTAGTGAGTTGTTTAATTTCTAGGTGTTTTATTTCCCGCCCCCTCTGCTTCTGTATGTGATTAATTTTGTAACAGTGTATCTCATAGTAATTCAATAAAAGAAGAAAATGTTGTCAAAATTAAGATATTCTATTGATCAAAAGAAAATATTTGCACACCATACTTCAAAAGTTGAAATTTCAAGATATATTAAGCACTATGGTGGCTCAAAAATCCAATAATGAAGAGAGAATATCAATATTAACAGACATTAATTTCCTCAAATAATATATAAAGATTCCAAAATGCACATAAAAATTGCTCATCATCACTGATTACCAGGAAAATGCAAAACAAAATGGTAATGAAATATCACCTCTGTGAAATGTGAAAATGGTCTATACCAAAGTTTGGAAACAGTAGAAAAGGAAGTGAATTTGATGAAAAAGAAATTATTATTTACTTCTAAAGAACTGTAGCACATTTCAGCAACTTTGGAGAATCATAAAACCATTAACAAATAGGACTTTCATATGATCTAGCAACTCTTCTGTACATCTACTACAAGAAGACAAAAACATTAATCCCCCCAAATATATGCAGGTTTATGTTTATAACAGCAGGATTTATAATAACCAGTATCTGAAAACAACTCAAATGCCCCACAACAGTTGAATGGATAGAGAATTTGTGGCATATATGTATATAGGGTTAATGTTATTTAACTCTAAGAAAGTTAAAATTTTGCATTTTGCAATAACTTGCATGGAATTTGTGTTTGTTAAATAAAGTTAAGAGTTGCTTAATGAACTGAGATGGGAAGTAAATGACAAATTGTATCCTACTTCACATATACGCATAATTAAAGAAACAAAAATAAAGGGATTATATAATTTCTAATCGAACTCTAACACATGATCAATAGAACTGGGAACCGAGGTTATTGGAGGTGATAGGGAGAAAGTTCTGTAGGATAATGGTAAAGGTAAAGGTAAAGGTAAAGGTAAAGGTAAAGGTAAAGGTAAAGGCCCTCCCGTTGATCGTCGATTTGCTCGAGCGGGCCCAGTAACGTCTCCATTGGAGACTTTGTTGTTACTGTGTCTGGCATATCGAATACTCTTGGTAGCTTGCCGGGCTCTCCGAAATGGTAAAGGAATCTTGAAAAATTGGAGAAGATGTAGTAGAAACTCTGCAACAGTAAATCAATAACTTTAATAGTATTATAAACTGTTACCTCAATAAAAGTAATTAATCAAAAGTAGATATAGATTATTGGACAATGTTTAGTATAAAACCATTTGATGTTTTATTTGCTTTATAATATACCAATGCATGAGGAGCTGATGTTTTAGGTAGAAAAATTTTAAAGTTTGCTGCTCATCCATTTCATTTCTGTGACATAATTACTTCAATGATGAATGTTTTTCTCATTAAATGCATAGGATAAAAAGCAAATGAAATAAAAACACTGCCTAAAATATATCTTAATCATGCTGAATGTAGTAAGTAGTACTCAAAGCCTTAAATATTCATAATATTTAAATATTCTTAAAATAAAAATAAAATATGAAAAATACATTGCAAGAGTGAGCTGTGAATATGAATTTTTTTATTTTCCACTTTGTAAGGGTTTTCCATGTACGTTTTTGGTTATTTTTGGGGGGGATCACACCAGGCGATGCACAGAGGTTACACCTGGCTCATGCACTTAGGAATTAACTCCTGGCAGTGCTCAGGGGACCAGGTGGGATGCTGGGAATCGAACCCAGATTGGCTGCATGCAAAACATCCTACCTGCTGTGCTATCACTACAACACCTTAATGTAATTTTAAATGATGTGTTATGTGTATTTTTGTGATTTATATCACTGTATTACTATCATCCCATTGTTCATCGATTTGCTTGAGCGGGCTCCAGTAACATCTCCATTTGTCCCGTCACATGCTATTGTAGCCCAGTGGCATATTGGGGACTCTTTCAGGTTAAGGGGAATGAGGTCCATCATTGTTAATGTTTTCGGCATAAGGAGTATGCCACGGGTAGCTTGCCAGGCTCTGCTGTGTGGGCAGGATACTCTTAGTAACTTGCCGGGCTCTTCGAGAGGGATGGAGGCTTTGGGGGCAGCCTCTAATCATCTTTACAGGTGTTCCCAGTCAGGCATATATGAGGGCAGAATACTTTCTGTAGCCTGCTGGGTTCTGTGTAAGCAAAAACTAGACAATAAGAGGTCGCATGGCCATGAATGTGGCCGTGAGCTTATGGGGAGCTTGGTTTTATAGTCTGTGGATCTTGACATTGGTGGGATTACACGGCAGTTGATGTGTGTAACTGTCTAGCTACTGGAAGGTGGGGGATCTGGAGGAGGAGGCCCAGTCCTGATCTGAGCAGGCTTGGAGATCTCAGCCCCGGGTTCCGCACACCTGGGTTCCTCTGCTGGTTTCTTCATGTGTAAGGGTCATCTGAGTGTGTGGAGAGTGGTCTTAGTGTGGCTGTGGCTGGGTTCCAGAGGTCATCATATATGTGAAGGTCTTTATATGTATTTATATAAAGTAAAACAATAAGTAAATATTTTGTTAAGACATGTTGTTTTCTATTTTTTATCTAGGTAAAGGTTCTACTAGAAGCAGTAATACACATCAGAACAATTGGCTTATTCTGAGTTTCTACATTCTTCTTCCCTTTATCATAATTTTTACCATAATGATTATAAAAAGGCATAAGAAGAGAAAAATAATGCAACAAAGAAAATGAAGAATATTATGGGTAAAATGATTTATGCAAATACTTTATTATATTAAATTATACTGCTTATGAATCTTCCATATTACGGTGGTGTGACACTCAATTGTAGAGCATTTTCCTTGCATGGATAACGCCTGGGGTTCTAACCCCAGCACCACATAATAGTCACCACCACAATATATCATAAATTTATAGTTGTATTATAAAAGTTATCATTTATTCCTAAGAATGTGTGCTTTTAAATGCAACATAAATGGCATTTGGTCACTTTACAACTTTGTTCTTCAATAAACTGTTAACCTTGAGGCAAGTCAAAATTCTGTAGAATTTTTTCCCTAATAAAATAATCCACATTGTATTATGTAATTTCATGTGTCAGGAAAAACATATTTCTGTGCATCATTTTTAGCACTTTTTCAGTTGGGTCTAAATTGTTTGTCATTGCCATGTTCTTTTGGCTTGTGTGTGGAATATGCGCAGAATTCTCCAAGACTTGAATCCCAATAATATTCTCAATGTAATAATCCCATTAGAAAAGATCAGAAATAAAAACAAACAAGTGGCACTATATCAAATTTTAAAAAGAAGCAAAAGAACATGGTATAAGCTAAGAGGTTTTTATATAATATATTATATTCTATATACAAATCTTTTTCTTACTTAAAATCTGTACTATAACTTTCAAAAATTATTTTGATCTTTTAATTTTCTAATATGTTGATATCTAAATTTCTTTTAAAATCTTTATAAAAATAACTTTTTCATATAAATTTGTACACTTTTTCTCTTATATTTGTACTTCTTTGGGAATCGGTACATATGGGCTGTGTTCAGGGATTTCTCCTGGCTTTGGGCCAGGGACAGTTCTTAACAGTATTACAGGGTTTATATGTGATGCTAGGAATTTAACTCAGATCAACCAAATGCAAGACAAGTACCTTGTTAACTATACTTCCCCTCTTGCCCCTGTGCTTCTATTATGATAACCAAACACTTGAGCTATGGAAGGCAAGAAAACATTATGTACTCACATTAGTCTCTAAATGTAACATCACAAATAGTTATTCCAACTTAAAAGTAATGCTTTCTTTTAAAATATTTATTCCCAATCCTTTCATGAATTTTTTTTGCTTATTATATAGGTAAGTGATTATTTATGTTTTCTGGAAAGGGAAGTGACATAATTTAGCTAAAAATCATTAGTTCTAATGATTTTTGAAGAGAAAAATATTTAAAACTTCAAGTTCATAATTGACAGATGATATCCTCAAGGGCTGGCGCAATAGCACAGAGGGCAGGGAATTTTCCTTGTATGCGGCCAGCCCGACCGACCCGGGTTCAATTTCTCCACCCTTCTCAGAGAGCCTGGCAAGCTACTGAAAGTATCTTTCCTGCACGGCAAAGCCTGGCAAGCTACCCATGACATATTCAATATGCCAAACACAGTAACAACAAGTCTCTGGGCCCGCTCAAGCAAATTGATGAACAATGGGAGGAGAGTGACAGTGACAGTGATATCCTCAAGGGCAACTGAGTAATGTGCTTTTTGAGTACATGTCCATAATCCAAGAATTTCTATTGTCCTGTTACATTTATAAAATATGTTAGCCAGAGGTGGAGCAATAGCAGAGAGGGTAAGGCATTTGCCTTGCACGTGGCCAACCTAGGTCCGATTCCCAGCATCCCATATGGTCCCCTGAGCACTGCGAGGGATAATTCCTGAGTCAGAGCCAGGAGTAACCCCTGTGCATCTCCGGACATGACCCAAAAAGCAAAAATAAATAAATAGAAAAATAAAAATAAAAAATAAAATAAAATGTTAGCCAACTCAGAAACCTTAAGACTTTTACCTATGTTTATTATAGCATTAAAATATTTGCTTAGAGCTATTATAATCAGGTATGGGAAATTATTTCATCTTCTGCAGTATTTGCTTCCATTATGCTTTACCCTCTTAATTTTATATATGACTTTAAGAATCTGGAAGCATTGTAGTACCTAACATAGGACCCATCCATCCCTAGAGGGTCTTAGGGATTCCTTTTGGGGGGAAGACATACCTAGCAGAGCTCAGGACTTGCTTCGGGATGTCAAGAATCAAACATAGCTCAGCTGCATGCTAGGAAAACGACCTACCTATTCTACTATCTCTGCAGTCCCATAAATTCCTTTTTTACTATATGACCTAGTTTAGGTCATATAGTACAAGCATGTTTGTGGTATTGATGTGCAAAGTTACAGTACACAATCACCACCAAAGTGCCCACAAGAGTTCATTGCAATCCTGGCTTGTCCAAGATCCTGTCTAGTAAGAGCTCCGGTCCAAGCACCAGTCTTGCTTATCTTGCTGAAAAGTCATCACATGGCAACCATGGCCACCAGAAATTAATAGAATCATAAGCACTAATTTGCTTGATGTTAATAGGAACACTGGGCCACTTCTCAGATAACTGGGCTCTGGGAATTCTACCCTTTGCACCTACAAAGCACCAAAAATTAAAAAAAGTATTGTGTCTGTAAATAATGAAAACATTTAATTGATTCCGTGCGGGCGAGATACTCTCGGTAGCTTGCCGGGCTCTCAGAGAGGGGCGGAGGAATCGAACTTGGGTCGGCCATGTTGGCTGCGTGCAAGGCAAATGCCCTACCGCTGTGCTATTGCCCCCACGGCAGAGCCTGGCAAGCTCCCAGTGACGTATTCGATATGTCAAACGCAGTACCAACAAAGTCTCCAATGGAGACATTACTGGGCCCGCTCGAGCAAATCGATGATCAACGGGAGGGCCTTTACTTACTTACTTACTTAATTGATTCATTCAGATTGGAGGAGCTAAAGAGTATAGTATCAGGACTCAGCAGCAGAATGGAGGAAACTTAAAATCAAATCAGTAAGATAATATCTCACTGTTGTTTTGGTCTGCATCTCCCTGATGATTAGTGATGTTGAGCATCCTGGAAATATATCCCGGAGAAACAAAAATTACAGTCAAAATGACATCTGCACTTCTATGTTCATTGCTGCACTGTTCACAATAGCCAAAATCTGGAAAATACCCGAGTTCCCGAAAACAAATGACTGGTTCAAGAAACATGGCACATCCACGCAATGGAGTACTATGCAGCTGGTAGAAAAGATGAAGTCGTGAGATTTACATACAAGTAGTACTACATGGAAAGTATCATGCTAACTGAAATGAGTCAGAAAGAGAGGGACAGACAGAAAGATTGCTTTCATCTGGGATATATAAAGCAACAAAATAGGAGACTAACACTCAAGAATAGCCAAGATAAGTACCAGGAAGTTCAGTCCATGGCTTGGAGGCCAGCTGCACATGCTGGGGTAAAAGGCAGCTCAGATAGAGAAGGGAGTATCAAATAAAGGGTGTTGGAAGGATCCTCACAGGATGAGAGATGCAAGCTGAAAGTGGACTATAGACAGAACACGATTGCTACTCAGTGCCTCTTTTGCAAACCACAGCACACAAAAGGAGAGAGAAAACAAAAGGGAATGCCCTGCCACATAGGCAGGATAGGATTGCGGGGGGGGGGGGGGGGGGGGGGAAGGGATACTGGGATCATTGGTGGTGGAGAATGGGCACTGTTGGAGGGATGGGTACTCAATCATTGTATAACTGAAACCCAAGCACAAAAATTTGTATGTCTACAACTGTACCTCATGGTGCTTCACTAATAAAAATTAAAAAAAAAAACCAAATCAGTAGTGTCAAAGATAAAGCAGATCACATCAGCAATAAATAAGAGGCAATGGCAAGAAAATTTTAAATGAAGAAAATTCAAGATATATAATGGATAATGTAAAAAGAACAGGAACTAACTTATAAGAATTCAAGAAAAGACAAACTGAAAGGAAAAGAATGCCTAGCAGAAGAGGTAACACAGAATTTTCCCAGTTCAGTCAGTTGAGGGAGACTGAGGCACAGATCAAGGAGACCCAGAGTAACTAAAAAAATAAACTCAAATAGAATGACACTTCAACACAACGTAATCAAATTAGCAAAAATAAGAGAGATTGACTGAAGCAGTGATACGCAAAATCTCACATAAAAAGAACAAAACATGCAATTTACATTTTATTTATCAGATGAGTAAGAAGAAAATGAAATTATATATTAAATATACTGACTGATAAAATCACCAACTAAGAATTCTCTAACTATCAAGAAGATAAAAAAGGCTAAAGACATTTGTTGCATCCAAACCAGCTCTGCAAGAAATAATGACCTATTTAAAAAGACAAATTGAAGTATTGGCCAAATTTTCATAGAAGAAAATTATAACACATATTTTCGTATTAATAGATCAAGAAAATTTAACTTATGAACATATATGGATCAAATAAATTTGCATCAAGGATTATAAAATAGCTGCTCACAGACATAGAATATATATTAATTAATTAATATACACAATAGTATGGAAGATTTTGACATCTCACTTGCATCATAGGAAAGATCAATCAGACAGACCATTAGCAGAGAAATAAGACCAATAGGAGAAATCAGAAGAACTGATAAAAGTAAATAAGCATTGTGTCCTACACCCCTATGATCCAAACGCACATTTTTTCTCAAGTTCACATGACAGTTATCCTTGATGGACCATGTATTAGGGGCACAGTTAAGTATCCATAAAAACATAACAGTAGAAAGCATATCATGTACCTTCTCCAGTGACAAGCTATGAGGTGAGAAATTAATCATTAAAATGTGGGAAAGCTTGAAAACTGAAAAAAAAGATGTTAAAAACTTATTGATTTAAATATGAAATCAAAGAAATAATGATACACAAGTTCCCTGTGGCATATTTGATATGCCAAAAACAGTAACAACAACTCTCACAATGGAGACATTACTGATACCCTCTTGAGCCAATCGAACAATGGGAGGACAGAGCTACAGTCTCAAGACTCATGAAATGAAAACAGAAACTAAAAAAAACTTATGTGACATATAAAAATTAGTATTAAGTGGAAAGTTGCTAGATATGTAGGCTTTAGAAGAAAAT